ATCGAAAAAGACGCGAACGCGTACGATCCGATAGCGATTTCGTCATCATTCAGTGATCTAATTAAAACTTCTTACACGCAAAATGCATCGCAAAATGCACCTTTCCATTGATTTTTATTCATATCAGATATCAACGTGTCAATTTTCTTGGGTGTACATAAATTAGGGAAGCAAATGATCGGCGTGCAGTTTGTATTGAAACTGGAAATTGTTGTTACATTAAAAATTCATACAAGAATATTACTAGACACCGAGAGAGATCTGCCTTGGAAATATGGACCTAATATGGACCTAATATGGACCTCTTTAATTATATTTGTATTAAATTAGGGTAAGTTTATTGCATTTAAACCGAGATTTGAACAGAAATAAATTCGGATGTTTCCTTCGTTTTGATTTGTAGTTTTTATTTGATTTTTCGCTTCAAGACAGTGCATTTCTTTTTTGTATAGGAGAAGAGGTAGGGCCTTATGGCTTGCCTATCGTTATTAGATATTCCCTTCATCTCGTCGCACGTGCGCGCTGATCGAATTATGCTTTTTATCGAGATGAGCGTTTAGCAAATCTATCGATATTTCCGATCGCGAGGTAATCGAGTTTAACTGGAGACTAATTTTCAGTAGTCGTCCGAGTCGAGAGAAAGCGAGAGAGAGAGAGAGAAAGGGGGGGGGGTGAGAGTCCTCCCCTGATAGCGATAAAGCAACGCACACTTTAATTATCGTACTGTCAGATTCGCTGTGCGTCCTACACGGAAATTGTATTAAGCTATTTCATCGAGACGTCATAATACCGCATAATCGAGTTATATGTCTTTATGCCGTGCGCAATACTGTTCGCGATAATTGAAAAACCACAGGGCGCGATATTAATCCGTCGAATTGACGTACCAATTCGGCCTACGAAAGGTTGAAAAAACCGTGTCGGAAAAGTCGCGCACGTTTCTGTTGATTGCACTATGACTTCATCTCGAATCTATATCTCTCACATTTGCGAATTAAATGCGTGGGCGGAAGAAACCGCGTTTCTAGTGAATTGGAAAACGAGGAGCGAAACGTTTCCGCGAATATACAGCTCGTCGATACGCCGGTGATCTCGGGCGATTTAATCCGACACCGTAGTGACAAAAGATGGAGAAAGAAGACGAAAAGGGAGGAGAAAGAGTTGCTCGTCACGACGAGATTCCGCAAATTATACTGTTTAAGGAACGAGGGCGCGACCGGACCTTGCGCAACGAATACAAATGGAGAGCCAGCCGGCAGCCGCGTCCCTTCGGCGCGCGTGACAAAATTCGTAAAGGAGCTCTCGAAGCCAAGCAGCCTCCATCACCCTCTTCCTCTCGCCCGCGCCGCAGGGTATATACTCGCGGGGGATTTCACTGACACACAGGAGAGAAAAAGAGAACCGTTTTGGCGACAACGTGATAATATTTCTGAACTTGGGGAGGGACTCGTTCTCGCTGGTGGAAGAAAAAAAATAAAATAAAATTCGTCGGCCGGTATCTCGAAAGAGAGACCGAGAGAGCCGCTGGTCTACACCGAAACTGGTTTCGTAAGTGACGCTTCGGCAATAAAAAGAGACGGCGAGGGAGAAAACGAGAGAGAGAGAGAGAGACAGAGAGAAAGAGGCACGTAACGCGACCGCATTCACGACGAGCGCATTTACATGTTACGTAAAATTTCGTTGGAACCCGCGATACACGACACGTCGCAACGGACGGCGATCTCTCGCGCTATGCTCGCCTCCCGGACCATTCGCATCTCAATGAAAGTCCGGATGACTTTTGCCACGGGAGATCGTAGGGAAATCTCTCTCTCTCTCTCTCTCTCTGTATGTGTGTGTGTGTAGCGTTCATCTCGCGAACTTTTGAATATTTATGAATTTAAAACAAGGTAGATAAACAGATTTAATTACAACTTCCGCGAATAACGTAAGACACATGGCAAAATCGACGACAATATTTATTACAGTAAAAATCGTGTAGAAAAGGCAAAAGGATATTTATTTATTTGCGTAGAGAAGTTGGAAGAGTAGCAATAATTTCCAATCTAAAGGTTAAGTTGTTGCCTGAGGAAGGATTCAATCATAAAAAGCTCGAATAGTGTTTTAAAAATAAATTTATTTGCAGTGATTTGTCAGATGTGCTGGTTGTTATCAATATACTCTTATTATTCATCGATCGTATTTAATTTTTTTTTTATGTACCTGTCTACAAATGTCCCTTTCTACAAATATAGATTAAATCTCGTGTTCGTCTTTTTCTAATTTTTAGACCTGGAACTGAGATTAAAATTAAACTACATTGGATTTAGAAACGGACATTAGTGACTTCAATCATTCGTTTAAACTTGAAAACTTTCCATTGCTTTAAAGATATTTTATGCAGTGCATTCGCACACACTACGTATTATCGAAACGTCTGTTTTTATATGGTAGAGACACGCGGCTACTAGGACGGCAATGTAAAACGTCCGATTTATCATGCGTTCGATAGCTTGTTTTAATGTATCGCAGCGACGGAAACGTTGCAAATAGTGGCGAACTAAAAAAAAGGCGGAGCTTTTACTCCAATTTTCAAGAATGATAGATCGTCCGGCCGTATTTCAAAATTGGAGCGGAACGAACGTATAACGTTCTCTCGGTTATCGCGCGCTCCTTCTTTTTTATCCGCACGACATTACCGCGCCGCGACGTTATTTCTGTCTTCGCGACTGACTCATCGACGTCTCGGAAAGAAATGACCCTTGGTACGCGATACCGTCGGCTTTGCATGCTTATCAGTCCGCTCGGCGCAAAGGCGACGCTATCGGAAAGAATGTTCCCGTACAGTCGCAGGCCAAGTCTCAAGTTCGTCGGCGGAACCTTCATTCGCGCCTTCGACGCGACCACCGCTTATTCCGGATATGTCGTAAATCAGATTTTAAAACGTTATCAAATTTGCATAATACACGGTTCAGGACGCTCTTGAACAAGATTCAGGCGCCTCGCCGCTTTCCAAGTTAAATATGGCTAGCGTGTCGAATGTCTCAGAAAGTCTGTTAAGCCTCGTGAATATGTTATTCGCGTGAATTCAATCAGATAATTTGATGCGATATACCTGTGGGCCTTGATTAGGAGTTCTTATCTTAATATTCTTGAAAAGTAGCCTCGCTCTCTCTCCTAGAGAGCTATGAAAAAGAAATTGGAATATAAAATTCAACATTTCGTGTCATAACAGGAATAATAATGCGATAAAACCGACGAGCAACAGTAACCAGTGCGATGACATTCGATCCTCGCACTTTTCTGTTTTTCTTGCCGTTTATAACCGTTCGCACGACTTCTTCTACTTAAAGCCACTTGAGGCTATCATTTATAAAGTCTGGCAAGTTCCTCCTCGCAGCACATCGTGTGAATCTACCGCGTGGTTTTCTCTCTTTTTCCTCTTATCCCATTCATAAAGCAGGAGATATTGAAAAAGAAATGGCAAGAACAATTTCGCTTTTGCTGGCGGGGGCAAAAAAAAAAAAGAGAAAGAGAGAGAGAGCTTCTCTCTCGCTGGAGAAAGAATTCACCTGCTGATCTAAGTTACCATTTGTATTGTCCGCGTATATTGCGAGCACATGTGGCTCATAAAATCGTATCGCGTCCAGCCGTTTCCATTCGAAGATATTTCTGTGCGCGCACGCGGATAAAAACAAATATGAATGGCAGCGATACCGGCGGCAACGTTATACGCCATCCATGACCGCGTCGTTTAAAAGGTTAATGTCGATATTCCAACGAATGTAAATAAACATTTTTAGCGACACTCCGCGAACTGATCATTCTGGCGAATCATAGAAAAAGATCAGGAATTACGAGAGGGGAAAGGCAATCGTTACAGAATCGTCGACACACTTTTACGTTCCCTTTTCTCTTTTCTCTCCTTTTGGAATGTATTCTTTTTACTATTTCATTAAAAGTATTTAATTAAAGACGTCCAGGAAGTAGTTCCTCTCCACTGAGTTCGATGATAATAAAAGAGTGGCATCCACACGAGAAATAATATTGCCTTTCGTTGTTTGTTATCTTTCCATTTTATCATTTCGCAACAAGAATCTTACCTAGAAATGCACTAAATTGTACCGTCAGGTGGAGTTAACACGAAGAGATTCGTATATAAGAAATCCTCAAGGTCGCTTTTTCGAACGGATGGATTTTACGGGTTTTAGTGTTCAGCAAATAACATTTGCCGCTTAGTTTGGTATACGAATATGGTTTGCCGTTTTAGTGGCTGATGTATTGATGCAAAAGCCAGCCGTGTTTGGACAGCATCTACTCGGTGGAAAAAGCGAAATGGGTTTACCGGTTATATGCTGTTTTGACCGCAAAAACCGACCAGTTTCTACAACAATTGAAGCAACTGGTCGCAAAATCGCCTTCATTATTCAGCTCTCTACCGAAAGAGTGAAATGTTGAGTATCTTTTTTTCGGCACAATCTTAGCTTCTCGGCTCTTCAATTCTGCAATTTGCGTTCACGTAAACGACTCGGAAAGTCCAGTATAAATTTTATTGTCTCCGAAAATAGGGGGTTCTTTCTAAATTCTTTCTAAATATTAAGCAGCATATATATATAAATGTAAAAATTAAAAAACAATCAACTTCAAATGTATTCGCATTTGTTAAGCTTGTAATTTGCGTAAACCTAAAAAATCCATAATTTTTCAAGAGCTTATTCCAAAAGTCTCCGTAAATGATGCAGAGAAACAAAAAAGTAACTTGACACACCTATACGTAATACAATGGCTCAGCAAGAGACCCTACAACTTTACGAGAAGTCTTTGACGGTCTCGTTCGTAAAGTTAACAACTTGGATGCAGGTATACTGTGTTTGTGGAACGGCCATCTCTCACGCGTGTAGCCGTGTTGCCGTGCTCGGCAAAGCGAGTTCTCTCGGCTCGAAGGTCGAACACTTTCGAGCGTCGAGCACGGATTCCCGGCATCAGTGCTCGAAAAGAACGGCAGAGAGGCGGATACTTACATCTTGTAGTGGTGCTGCATGTGGTGACCGACTAGGTGCATGTCGGTGGCGTGCTGCTGTTGCTGCATCTGCTGGTGCTGCTGCTGTTGCTGCTGCGGCTGGTGCATACCCTGATGATGGTGAGTCTGCGGGGGGTCCAGGCTGGATGCACCCAGCAGGGTAGCGCTCTCCCTGAACAACGTTGCCACCTGCATCCTGGCTGTGTCGTTCGCGTTCTTGGTTTCACCGGAAGTGATCCGCCGTCGGCCGGCGTCGCGATGTCGCACGCGTTATTCTTTCTGTATCCGGATCTCTATCCGTCGCGCTGGACGCTTCCTTATCCTTAGCGTCGTCAAAATCAAGGACGGCTTGCTCTGGGATAGAAACGGATCTAGATAATCCCTGCGTAACGTGAATACGGTTTTCTTCGTGACGATGAAAGTTTACCGTACGTCCCCACGCGTTCCACGGCTCGGGATCGATACCGGCTCCGAGATCCTTCGAAGGTGATTATTAGGATCGCGGGTAGTTCCGAGAAAGGTTCTTTGGATCGCGTGATCGCGGAATAATTGTAGATCTTTCGCGAGTCTTTCGATTACCACGACCGTGAGGGTGCTCGTAAATAATATCCCTTACTGTCTTTTAATTTCTAGAATCGTGAATAATCACAGGATGCGATGTCCAGTCTATAGTGACAGTGGTTGAAGAATTATCAATTATCAATTACTCGAATACGACTATTGTTCGTTTCGCTACCGAATCCCCCCCCGACAACAATGGCTCGCAGAGAACGTGCCGTCGGCACTTGAAAAGCGCGGCTTTTCGCGTTCCTTGTTTCACGAACACCTGATTCGGAATAACACCTGATTAACGATCGCGGTACACACGCCGCGGCCAGCGGCACGACGACGCTCGTCGACGGCCACCGTCGCGGCGGCAAAACAGACGTCGATGACGATGCGGCGAGAATCTCTTTCTCTCTTTCTTTTACTCTCTGTTTTTCTCCCTCTCTCTTTCTCTTTCTTTCTCTCTCTCTCTCTCTCTCT